TCTTTTTCTCTGCAAGAATGCCAATTTTTTGTTGAATATAGTGTTTGGAATTAAGTCTTTGTGTGTTGTATCATGTTTTTAACTCAATAAACAAAAAAAGCAGATTTTGCATGAAACAGAACATCAAAGCTTGCGAGCTTTTATTTTTGGGATGAAATATTTCTTTTAATTTCTTTTCCATGCGTTTCTTTTCCACTTGCTGTCAGCATCATTACATCGGTACAAATGACAAATGATTTTGATTTAATGAATAAAAAAAGTTTTTCTTTTGTTTTTTGATCTTACAGCTCTTGAAGTCCCAACTCTCACAGAAAGTTGAAAATGCTGAACAAAGCGATATCAAAAAAGCAGACAAAGATCTGGAAAGGCTGAAAAAAGGTAACTTTCTCAGAGATTGCAGTCTCTTGCAGTGATCATTTTAGAACTCGAAGAGGAAGGAGCAGTGAAGGCAAACCTCATTAGAATACTTCACTACGCTCGTCCCGAGTGGGCTTTCCTTCTCCTTGCCGTGTTTTCTTCGATAACACGAGGTTGCGTTTTTCCAGCATTTTCCCTCTTCTTCACGGAAATCATTGAGGTGAGCTGTCTTCTAGCCGTACATAATTTCAAGCAATCTCATACATCTAGGTTTTCGCTATACCACCTGGCGATCCCAGTCTTCAATCAAAAGGTCATTTCTGGGCATTAATGTTTCTTCTGTTGGGCGGAGTGGAAGCAGTATATATGATCACTCAGGCACGAACACCAAGCTTTCAATGACAACCTGTTGCCATTGAAAATTCGCTTTCAGTGTTTCTTTTTTGGATTATCAGCTGAAAGACTGACAATGCGCTTACGATCCAAAGTGTTCCGTAATGTCATGCGCATGGATGCTACCTACTTCGACATGCCCCGCCACTCACCAGGGAGAATTACTACTCGTCTCGCTACTGATGCTCCAAATATAAAATCTGTATGTTTTTCACTTTTCTACCTATATATCCTTGAACCCAGACTAGGCATAAGCTTCACGATTTTGGAAATGATTGTTCACTTGTAAATAACCTGATTTATGAAATCGATGAGGA